CTTTACTCTTTTTAACTAAGCGTATGGTCAGAAATTTTAATGTAACTGAGTCAATTAAAGCTAGACCATCATGGAAAACCTGGAAGCACTGGATGGCTGTTTCGTTCTAGTATGGTACTCCTCGGTAGTGCTCACCCACGATCGCAATTCGCGAGATTAGAACACATGATCTATCGATCTGATGCGCGAGTGCTTAACCACTAGATCACTGAGCCAGTCGGCATTCAACGTTGTAAATGACTAACTTCAACCAATCCACGAAATGTGCTCATTAGTGACTGGTTTCAAGAAGTATTTCCTGGAGTTTTAGTGAGAAGCAGTGGTCAGTGGAATTCAACCAGGTCTGTTGTGAGATAGTAACTCACTGAAGACAATCGTGAACGGTCGCACAATTTCATGGATTAGTTGAAGTTAAGCATTCACACCGTTGGATACCGACTCACTTGCCTAGAAGTTAAGCGTCTGAGTCAAACAGAAGGTTCTGGATTTGAATCCCGCCTGCGGGTCATGGATTGGCACTGTTGAGTAGTTCCACAATAGGACGAAACGGCCATCCAGTGCTTCCAGGTTTTCCATGGTGATCTAGCTTCATTTGACTAATTAATTCAACTATAAAATTACTAAAATATTCACGAAACCCCCTTCTGATAAGAATATAAATCTGATCATTTAAACTTGGAGGTCTATATGTAAATAAACACTTAATGATTGATTTTAATTAGTTTTGAAATCATGTTTCAATGCATTTCGGTACTGTGGTCTTATTTCTATGAAAGTGAAGTAGATAGTAAATATATACTGATCTGAATTATCATTAGTTTATAATGCTTGTAACATGAACTAGTCATAGTTGAATAACCAATAAAAAGCATTCAACAGATATTTTGTCCTATTATGGGATTTCTCTGTAATGCGGATCTTTCGACCATAAATACTCACTAAAACTTTAGTAATCCCCTCTTGAAATAATTAATAGTAAGCAAATGATCATTACTCTAGTGTTAGGGACTTTTAACAAAATAGATATTTAATGCTTTCTAATTCTCAACAATTTTTTCAACTCAATTTATGATGTAAATCATGGAATTGAATTATGAGTCTGAAATATGACAAAACACACGTCCTGAATTCCATTGTTAGCCACTATCCATCTTTACTTATAAAGCTTGAGACTTAAAGCAATATTGAGGTAATCCACACAGGATGCAGATATGTTAACAAGTTACTGATCAATCGCAGTCCCAAACAACAATGGGTAGTTACAAGCGAACAATACCAAGTGAATATTTATTTTATTTATGTTCTTTTATTTTTATTTAATGTTACTAACAGATTCTATGTTATTCTCAATGTAACATAAGTCACAAATATGAGATAAATGTAAGAGAGTAATATTCCCTAATCGATCCAAACCCAAGGTAAAAACGTTCTTTAATATACAATTAATGATAGTGTAGGGTCTCTCAAATAATTTATATATTCTTGCCTACTAATACGTTTTCCAAAAGTTAAATTGTATTTAGGTCTACGTCTTGTATATGTAACACCAGTATAATTTCTTTGAGATCACGAATCGATTTAGTGTAAATGACAGTTAAAAACTTGCAAGCACTAGATAGCTGTTTTATTCTAGGATGGAACTATTCGACATTGCGTATCTACAACCCTAAAGCAAGAAATCCAACCAATGAACTTTAGTCTAGATAGCTAAGCCTGGATCTAGTAGTGTGAGACAGAAACTCCTGAGCTCGATTTATGAATGCCGAGTCATGAATGAAGGTTGTTGGGAAGTCTTCTACTATAAGGAACCAGCCGTATGGTGCATAGTCATTTCCATTGGTTGTTCAAGATCAGTGTACCATATAATCTGTGAAAGAACGATGTGGAATTAAATCCGTTTCGTAGAAATTAAATAGAATAAAAGGTATACATAAAGGGAGCTTAGGAGTAAATGTATATTATATACATATAAATTATGTAAATATCTTCTCGTACCGCATTTTTGTTATCATATTAGGAGTAACTAGCATCAAAGGATAACTCAATTGTAAAAAGCAAGTACAATCCACAATACATTTCTAATAGGAAGTTGTACTCTAAAACATCTAATGAATAAAGATTTCGATACTACCTTGCGAGTAATAAATAGACAGAATAACGGTAAACTCTTATATGACACAGAAAGTCATTCTTCATCTCAAATCGAACTTCTGTATAAAAAAGGCACTTCAAATTCATTTGACATTCTTATAGAGACGAATTCACTTACCCTATTTTCCTCTAATTCTTCAAATAGCATATATTCAAAGGTGGATAGTGGCTAGCAGTGGAATTTAGGACGTGTATTTCGTCCTATTTGAGACTCGTCAGTTAGATGTATCTGCATCTCACAGTTATTGTTCAATCCGGCCACTATTCATCTTTGCTTACAATTCTTGTGACTTAAAGCAATATTGAAGCAATCCGCACAGGATGCATATATGCAAATAAGTGACTAATCAATTGCAGTCCTAAACCTCGATGGGAAGATTCAAACAACCAAATACAAGAATGAGTTCATTTCATTTTAAAAACATTGCTGTTCTTGATCAGTTTGAAATTTATCGTCTTTTTCTTCTTGAACATATAACCTCTGTAAACATTCATCGACTTTTGTTGAATCTCAACCATACTTCCATTGCTCAATTTAGTCATATTTCTCTTTGAAATTTATATTTATTACGATTAGTTTTATCAATTAAATGTTTGATTCTGTATCAGTCTATTCATTTAAGTAATTTTCATCTTCCCATCATTATTATGATGATGAAGAGGGTAAAAATGAAGATTTAAGAAGACGAACATGAACTTGTCATCAGCTGGTGACAACCTTTCATATTTAAAAATCATAATTACAAAATGGATTGTAATTACTTATGTGAAAGAGTTTGGTAAAAAGTTGTGATGATCACACACCAGTATAGTGTAACAAGGATGTAAACAAATTTAATAGACAAAATAGAATGTTGTGAATACTTATGAAAAATCTACTGACAACCTTAATACTTACAAAAGACCAAAGGGCTAGAAACAAATGGTTATTGTAATGAACAAACACTAATGATAGGTAAGAATAGGTTCTTGTTGAAATATACTGTTGTGAGTGCATTGTAGCCTTTAATTAAACTCCTCTGTATCAATGATTTCAACTCATTCTTAAATCTTACAGGTTTGTAAGCAGTTGATTTCAAAACAAATGTTATCCAAAAACTATAGACGAAATTTGAAATAAAAACGTTAAAACAGTTTTCTAGTAGGAATAGAAACTTGGAGGACTACTACAACCATTATCAAAAAGATACATGCACCACTATGGAAGACCTAGAAACACTGGATGACCGTTTCATCCCAGTGTGGGACTCCTCAGCTGAGCGCATCAATGGTCCTGCCGTGCGAGATTCGAAGCCAGGACCTATCGATCTCATACGTGAACGCTTAACCTATAAATCACTGAGCTGGCATTCAATGATGTTGATGTCCATGTTCAAACAGTCCAACTATTCATTAAAATGAACCATAATATCAAAGACTTTGTAAAAAAGAAGTAACAAATTCTATTAATATTTCTTTTTCTGGTTGTCGGTATAATGAATTAACTAACTACTCTAAACTCTAAATTAAATTATCACTATAATAAACTAATTCAGTTTACCTGAATTAGGGTACCTTTTCGCATAACTAAAATAAATAAATAAATTGGTTAACTGTTATATTTTGTAGTAAACAGTAAAACTTTATTCAACACTGTATAGATTGTTTATTTAAAAGTAACCAATTAAAGATTCATTTCCAAGGGCATTGGATATATTTAAGTTAAAATTTAGTTTCCAACCATTGAATAACCATATTTATTTTGTTAAATTCAAGATAAAATATCTGAATGAAATAATTGTGTACTAAGCAAAGACGGATAGTGGTTAACGATGGAATCGAGGACATGTTTTTCATCCTTTTTGGGACTCATCAGTTGGGTGTACTTACATCCCAGAGTTGGTGTTCACTCTGGGACATGAACTTATCTTTACTTTAAAAAGCTTGTGACTGAAGGTTATATCGAGGCAATCCGTACAAGATGCACATATACCAACATGAGATTGATCAACTGCAGTCCTAAATAACAATGGGAAGATACAAGTTAAACAAGACCAAGTGAATTTAATTTTGTACTAGTTTAAATTTGCTGGGTTTTGTTAAGTTAGCTTTTTTTCTTCTTATTGTAAACTCATTCCAATGTAAAAAAATAACTTAAATAAGAACGTTCGTTTAAATATAATCGAATAGTTTCGTAGTATTTGGGCGCCGAAAGACATTAAAGAGAAAGAATGTATTTATAAAATCTCAGCAAAAGTATTTGAACTAAATCCAACGTTTTCCTTAGCAATCTGGTCCAAACTATTTATATTCGATAGTTTTGATGTTCCTTGAAAAAACTTGAACGAGATTATCAAGCGAAATGTTGAATTTATCTCAAATTGATGTCAGACACTATCACCATTGTATGCCGGCTCAGTGGTCCAGTAGGTTAGGTGTTCGCGTGCGAGACCGAAGGCCCTGTGTTCGAATCTCGCGAGGCGGGATAGTGGATGCGCACTGTTGAGAAGTCCCATGATAGGACGAAACGGCCATCCAGTGTTTCCAGGTTTCCAAAGGTGGTCTAACATCAATCGGTTCGTGATCTCAATCAAAAACTTAACAATCTCCACAACCCCTATACTAGTAATCAAATTCTTTCGTTGAGATTTTAAAAATACATTCTTCTTCTTTAAAACAAAATAACTTTCTTAATCATTATGAATGAATAAATGATGATTACACAATATGATCTATATGATGAAATCAAATTAAAAACACCTATCAACTAAAACAAGAAAAATAAAAAAACACAATAATAACAACCTAAAAAAAAATGAGAGATCAAAGCCATTTATTACAACAAGAATGAAGAAGATTCATTAACTTACCGAATAACACTAGACGACTGTACATAAACATGATTAAGTAATTCCTTCAATATTTTTTGTATTTTATTGTTACTATGATGGTTTGCATCTTAGAAAATGATTCAATAATTCTGTTTTTTTTGTTAAATTTATTTCATTTAAAAACTTCCATTCTTATTTAAATATATAAAATTAATAAGTGAACTCATAATAAGTATGATAGGAATTTTTTGAACCGTAAAAAAATTAAAAATAAAAATCTAACCAATCATATTTCACATGTGCTTATAAATAAAAAATAGGAAAACATTATTTTGATTGGTGGAAAATAAACTCATATATATATATATATATATATATATATATATATATATATATATATATATAACCTCCCTGGACAGGATTGGATGAAGAGTGTTAGTTGACGGCTTGTGCTCCTCCACGAGGAGTAACAGGCGTAAGTAATGTATGCAACCTTTCATTAAGTTTGTTTTGTTTTTTCTGATAAGCTAAATACAAAGAAACCACTATGGTATGATATATTGAGTGTATTTATTCCGTTTCATATCATTTAGTATGGAAGTTTAAAATCATTCAATGGATAGATGAACAGTTTTTTATTTGTGAAAATATTACAATTAATTGTAAGTTTCTTAAAAAGTGAATTATAAAGAATTTTACACAAGTTAAGCTATCAATGACTTATAAAACAATATTTATATTGTTTACATCATGGATGTTTTAGTCACAGTGATGAATTAATGGTTTTAATTCGGTTACTAATACTCATAGTGTTGTGACTTTAAGCCCAGCTAATTACCATGTGATTTATTCGCCAATCGAAATGCAACTTATACAATCTTAGTATTGTGCCAAACTAATAACGTTCGACCCGGTATTGATTCTTTGTTCTCCTAGCCTTGCCAGTTGAGTCCACAACGTCAACAGCAGCTTTCGTTATGTAAATCATTTATCACAAACATACTTGGTTTATATACCAGCTAAACAGACCTCATCACACCATGAAATAAGAAATAACATTTATACAATATCAAGCTAAAAAGTGTCCGTGAACGTGCCAAACCGTAATCGACAAACTGAGTATAATTTGAAAATAATAAATGGTACCATAATAGTGTATAGGTCAATATATATATATATATATATATATATATATATATATATATAATATTAGTCCATTAATAGTTCTCAGAATTTACCCGTAATTTAATCTTCACTAGGATATAACACCTAGTTATGGAGTTTGCTTCCTAGACTACAAATAGTGGTGTGTGAAACTCCTAAAATAAATGAGCTAGACATTTAAACCTTGGTAGTATACTCTTCCAAGACGTAAATACACAAAACCGCATCAGTCAGAGATTTTGTACACAGCTTAGACTCCTAGCTTTTAGCTTAACTGAAGCAATCTTCCGTTTAATCTTCGCTCTCAATGAAATGTGGCGTCTTCTAAAATTCTAAGTTTTATCCAGCTTCCAAAACTAAATGACAGATTTTTTTGTTTCTCTGATCTTAGAATCACCTCAGAGATTCTCCATGTCCATAGATCAACATTCGTATTAGTTGTCGTGCCAATCCATTTTAACTTCCTAATATACGCTCTTATTAATTATCCAGCTTAGTGCGGTGAAAAAACAGTAAGACTTTGACTAAATCATACCCGTGTCTGATTTTTGGACAAGGGCCTTCAGTTTTCTGAAATTCACGTGCAGTAATATTCTATGCGATTTGATTACTATCCTCTAGATCTCTAACTTGACTTACTAAGGAAATATTTAAGGATTATTTGACTGATTAAATGAACCTATTAACATTTCTTTTTACCTAGAGCAACGAGGTTACTATGGGAACTACCTATTTTTCTATCTCCCTCGATAAATTACCACTCCTCTACAATTCCTGCCTTTGCATCATGAATTTTTGTGTCAGTTACAGTTATATTCGTTTCATTAACCGGAATAACTAGGAAATTTCATTATATCTTAGATTGATCTGTTTTCACATGGATGTTCATAGTTCACATGCCTTATGGGACAATTCTGTTATTTTGTGGTCATATTTCTCACTTTAATCTCTGTAAGTGCATCAGAAACTAATTAATGATTTATAGACAATTAAGTCTACATGTCAAGTATAACATACTCTTGTTAAATTACGTATTCAGTTTTCAATATTAGTTATCATCCACTTATCAACTATAACAAACTTCAATATCATAAAACCTAAGAGACAATCTTTAGCAGAAGTTAACTTATATTTTGCTTAATTCTCTTAACATGTAAAAAGAAATCATTCAAACATATCCATGAATATAACTTGTTACGTTGTTAAAATATATATGGATAGTGGCTAAAAGTAGAATCCAGGACACGGGTTTTGTTTTATTTTGGGACCCGTCAGTTCGATGTACCTGCATCCTAGAGATAATGTTCACTACGGGACACAAACCCAGTACCATACACTTCAAATGCCATCGCGTTATCAACACCAACTCTGAAATTCAGATATATCCAACTGACGAGCCCAAACAGGATGAAACGCGTGTCTTCAATTCCATTGCTGACCATCATTCATCTTTGCCTATAATGCTTATGACTCAAGGCGATATCGAAGCAATCCTTTTAGTATGTACATACACCAATAAGATACTGATCAATTACAGTACTAAACATAAATGGGTAGATTCAAGTAAAGAATACCAAGTAGATTCAAATAGACAATTGTTTCAAAATAGAATTTATCATTTTTCAAATTATGCGTTATAATTTACAGCATTAATAAATAAAAAACAGTAAATTCATATATATATATACTCATGAACAAATTTAAATGTAATAGTTAGATTCGTGAGTCAATTAAAGCTAGACCACTTGAACCATTGCTGTGAGACAGTCACTCACTGAAGACAATGATGGACGGTGGCTCAGTTTGTGGATTGGTTGAAGTTAGACATTAACATCGTTGAATGTCAGCTCACTGGCGTTGAGATTAAGCGTTCGCGCGCGAGATCGATAGGTCCTGGATTCGGATCTTACGATGTGAGATCGTGGATGCGCACTACTGAGAGGTCCCATAATAGGATAAAACGGCCATTCAGTGCTTCCAGGTTTTCCATGGTGACGTAGTTAAGTCCTTCTGGTTGGTTAGAAACTACTGAGACTTTTTTCGAAAGTTTCAACGTTTACAAGTAGTTCTTGTACAAAAAACGTTCTCACAATGAAATGAGTGTGGACTTATCCATAATGTTTTAATATGTATTAAGATGGTCATAAACAGTATTTCGCTCATATTTTTCGCTTATTTTTTTGTTCATTTTGTTAGGAGATTGCTGAGTATTACAATTAAACTCTCAACATATGTTTTATTTTAGGCCCCAATATCTTACATATTTTCTTCATCAGTCATGTTAAACTGTCTTACACTGAATATGTCCATAACAGATAGCTTGGGGACAACTCCATCTATGTGAAACTTCTTATCGTTGTCATTAAATCTAATACGATCAGAAATTTACAAACCTTGGGTTTATCTAGTTACTATCATTTCATCGAAAAATTCCCATGAAAAGTTTACGTTTTAAATATCATACTTTCGTTTTAACCAACTCAGATACTCTCCAAAACATATTTAAAATTAGGTAAAGAATATAAGTAGAACAAAGTAGATTAGAATATTTCCCGTTAATATCTTCAATAAGGCTTTTTTTATCCAGAACCTAGAACAAAACTAGTAGCAATGATCATGTTCAATCTGTTTATAAATAACCAGGTAATCTATAAGTATTTTGTGTAAAGAAAATGTTCTAGTGAACGAGAACACAAGTGGGGACAATCGAATATATTTGAACACAAAAATTAAAGAACATCTTAGTAAAATCTGAGAACCATACAGTGAATACTTCATTTGCAAAATATCAATCAATTGTCTCAGACTTGATTGTTCCTTCGTTTCCACACCAATCATTCTCTTCACTAGTTCTCTTTTGTTTCATCTTCTTAACCTTCTGCCACCAGACATTTCACTTTCGATTGATGACACATCCTACTTATATCTGTCGATATCAGTAGTACACATCACAATATTATTATAGTGTTATTTTAAACGACTCTATACCAAGACAACTTCTAAATCAAAATAGAAATGATTCATTATTAAAGACAGCTTTATTTCAATAAGTTTTAATACATGAAATCATGAATGTTGAAATTCAATAAAACTCATGACTATACCTTTTAAATTCAGTAACATATTTCTTATATAAATCATTCGTTTCATTGATAATTCCAGTATGATGTCAATATGATATTCATTGAATGTGATCTTTTACTACTTATTATTTGTATTGATTCAGTAATAACATTGATTCAATGTAACATACGTCTGTTTAACTTCAGTGTAAAAAAACTCAGTCGTATTTCCATTATTCCGATTATGTATCATATGTGTTGACTAAATATCAAATAACATAAAGATCTAATACACATTAACGAGTGTATATGATGTTGTGTCAGATGTTATGAATAAAAGATTCATTTAAATTCACTTGGTGTTGTTTAACTTATATCTTCCCATTATTATTTAGGACTGCAATTGATCAACCTCATGTTGGCATATATGCATCTTGTATGGATTGACTCGATATAACCTTCAGTCATATACCTTTTAAGCAAAGATGGATAGTGGCTAGCAGTCGAATCCAGAGCGCCCGTTTCGTCCTATTTGAAACTCGTCAACTGCAGGTACATCCAACTGACGAGTCCCAAATAGGACGAAACGCGCGTCCTGGATTCGACTGCTAGCCCCTATCCATCTTTACTTAAAAAGATTCATTTGCTGTAAGTTATTTCTCTCTTGTCCTTTTTTATCTGTGTATTGTATAAATCACTACTTTTTTAAATCATCAGTTACACGATTATATGAATTACAATACAAATCTAATGCATATGTAGTGGTTTAGATTCGTTTATTAATTACCTTGATAACCGTTATTATACATAAATCCTAATGGTGTTTGAATTTAGAAGACAATAA